CAGGAAGGAAGTTTTATGGCCAGGAGTAAAGCTTGTGTGCATACAGGCTGTTGGGGATGGTTAGAAATGTCAGACTTTCTTGCTGTAATAACTTTTTTCATAAGTCTAGAAACCACTGTCAGTGATGTCTCAGTGCCTTTCCTTTTCACTGAGAACAAGAGTGTAACAAGGCCTGACGTATCTTCAGTGCTTCCCTGCCAGGTGTGAGCAGAGAACTTTACCCTGGTCCTGGAGACCGTGATTTCACCTCCAAACTCTTGTGCAGTCAGTTCAGAGCAGACTTTAATGTGCTTGTCTGATACAGTGAACTCATGTAATTGGAAGAGAGAGAAGGAAATGGGTGTAGCTACAGAGCATCCTGAATTTCGTGTGAAACTAAGGGTTTGCAAACACAGCTTTGTGTGTTTATAGTGTGTGTGCTTGGCAGCTTTGTCAGGCTGTTTAAAAGGGATTGTGGAGAAGAATGTCAGAAAGGTGGTGTTGGAATTGGACTTTGTGCAAGGATGTGATGAGGGGGAGTGATGGTAAGGCAGGGGTGGCATCTCTTGCAGTGGTTAAACGCCTGCACTTGCAGCAGTCCTGGAGATGACACTTCTCCTGAGCACTTTGAAGTTCAGCAGGTGTGTGTTGGCTCTGTGTGAGTCGTTTCCCAGGCTGGTGAGCATTGCTGTGGTTCTGGGAGTGCAGCTGGGGAAGGGCAGGTCCCTGAGCTTGAAAACTTTTCATGTGTTTAAAAAACAACTTGGAAATGTTTTTGTAATCTGTACTCTGAGAAGCTAAAATAACAAATGTGTTAGAGGTGGTAGAGTTGGTTAATAAGGGGATGTGCATTTAAGTTACTTGACTTCCTTAAAAGTCTGGACCATTCCCTGGGGTTGCTCTCAATTACAGTGTGATCAGGTCTGCTTTCCAGTTCAGGCTTTAAGTGTAAAGCAGTTGAGTCAACCCCTCTCTTCTCTACCCTTTACACTCACAGTTGTTGCAGACAGAAATCATGTAGGACTGTGTGAGTTACTGCTGTCTGTAAATATTCCCCAGGGCATCTCCTGACCTGAGCTTCAGGAATAACTATTCTCTTGACTTCAGCCCATATAAGCAGCACATGCTGTGAGATCTCTGTGGTGCAAAAAGCTGGAAACTAATGGTAGGAGCATGAGATACCAGTCTGGGTGCTGCTGCTATAGAAATACAGATGTTGTATAATTAAAAATTCAACTTGTACAACAAATGCAGTGAAACAAAACCTTCACTTTGCTGAGAGGTTTTGCTGTGTCTCTGGTATTTCCAAGAGTGGTGGTGGAGGGGAGTTGTGGTTTTCTTGTTGGGTGCTTGTAGTTTTAAGTGTTGTTATTGTGTTGGAATTCTCAGAGTGTTCAGAACCGTTTGGGTTGGAAGGAACCTGGAAGATCATCTAGTTCCAAACCCCTGCTATGAGCAGGGACACCTCCCACCAGCCCAGGCTACACAAAGCCCTGTCCAGCCTGGCCTTGAACCCCTCCAAGGATGGGGCTTCCACAACCGCTCTGGGCAACCTGTTCCAGTGCCTCATCACCCTAACAGTGCTGTCTCCTTTACTTTGGGCACCAGGACAAGGTTGGGAGTGGGGTTTCATCTGCACTGTCTTTATGGCATCTTACTGGGGCTCTCACAGCTTTGCTGAATGTTTTAGAGGATACTGAAACACTCTGGGAATACCTTCATGCTCCAGATGGGGAATTCTTGGACAGAGTTGTGCTAGGGGCACACTAGTTCAGCTCCAGCCTCTGTCCATGTCAGTGGTATAACTAGAGGAACAAAGGGAAAGAACTGAAGTTGTCCTGTTTAAGTATCCCAAACCACTGTGCTCAAAAGGGTCTGGAGCAATTGGGTTTATAGCCTGACTTGTGGGGCAAGCAGAAATTCAGGATTTTTACAGGGCATGTGTGAAAGTTTTGTTCTCCTGCATAACTTGCCCTGCAAGAGATGAGATATTCTCTATTGCCAGCTTCTGACATCAAAATACACTTACAGGTAGAGTTGGTACTAATTAAAAGGATAATGAAAACATATTTTAATTTCAGCTTCCTCTTTGCACTCATAATCTTGAGAGATTTCTCACAAACTCCAAACAACATTCCTGTTTCTGATGTTGCAACTGTTTGTTCCCAGTAACTGGCTTTCTTCCTTACTCTTCACATATTAAAAAAAAAAAAATATAAATAAAGTTGGGGATGGCAATTCTAGCTTTTTAAAAACCTAACCAAATAGCTGAATAAACCTTTTCCTTATTACTCTTCTGATTTAGAGTTGCTTTTAAAAAGGTGCTTTTAAAAAGACTTTGTGCACCAAGTGCTGGTTGCAGCAGAACAAATGACAGTGAGAGAAAGGGAGAGATTCTTATCTCATTTGTCTCTGTGATTTATTTATTTTTTGTCTGTAGTAGTTACCAGAGCTTGAAGTACTGATGAGTTACACATATCAAATGGCTTCTTACACCTCAGTTTTGTGGGGAATTCAAATCTGTTGACTGCCAGGCCATAATTTATTGCCATCCTCAGTTCCCAAGCTCTCCTCACCTCTCAGCCCCCACATTAACCAGCTGTGTAACAAACCAGGAAGCTCATTGCCAACAACTGTTGGAATCCCAAAGGAGTTTTGTTTCAGCACCTTTGCAGATCAAATAATTGCTCCAAGAGAGATGGTGGAATGTCTTTGGTTGGAAGGAACCTGTGCAGGTCATCTAGTCCAACCCCCCTCCAATAAGCAGGGACATCTCCCAGCTAGACCAGATTGCTTAGAGCCCCATCAAGCCTGACCTTGAATGTCTCCAGGGATGGGGCCCCCACCAGTCACTTATTACAGTTGTTTGGGGTAGTGTTTCCTAAACTTCTTGGGTCAGGAAACTGCTGCCAGCCTTGATACAGTCTTGCTGATGACTGGTGTAATGGGAGGGAATGAAATGGAGATGTTCATTCCTCTCACTGTTCTGCAGGCTCCTGACTGGCTTCATGGATCAGAAATGATGTGTGGAAAACATCAGGGAAGGCTGAATTTGGGATCTATCTGCAAGACAAACCTGGTGTCCAGTTTTAGAGAGTGATGCTGTGCACTGCTCCCATCTCTGGGGCAGCCTGACAGGTTCTGGCCACGTGCTTCCCAGGTTGCCACCTTCTCCTGAACAGAGCCTCAACTCAGAGAACATTCAGGGGGTTGTTCTAGCAGAGGGTCAATTTTCTGTAAGGTTTAGAGCTGCAAAGGAAAATGGATTGCATGTTGAAGATTAATTGGTGCAGTGAGACCTTTCTGATAGTGTGTGACCTGAAAATAATGGTGAAATGTTGTTCTTAGGAGTTGTTAATTAACAAGGGATATAGTGGGGTTTTTTAAAAAAGTACTGTGAACTTACTTCACTTTTCCTTAAGCCATGCAAGAAAAAGAAGGAAGCTGTTCCCAAATTCTGCATCGTTTAATTCTATGTCTAATTCTTTTGGATCATGTGGGAGAGATGACTTTTTTTTAGGAGCTAAGGAATGCTAATTAAAGGCACCACTTTATTCAACTGTGCTGTTGCAATTAATTACTTTGATAAAAGCTTGTATTGTGATAGGAAAATCCACATCCAATTTTAGCCTATCTTGATGTATTGGAGAAACAAATAATTATTTATCATTCCTCCCTACTGATGTAACATAATTGCAAAACTAATGCAGATGGAACACACGTGTCCTCATTTGCCCACTGGAATGAGTTAGAAGTAGATGTAGAATGATTCAGTTTGTGTCCTGACTGACATTACTCCCCTGCTGGCATCACCTCAGTCTTACCTGGGCTGGACTTGAAATCACAGAATGGTTTGAGTTGTAAAGGACCTTAAAGATCATCTAGTTCCAACCCCGCTGCATGGGCAGGGACGCCTCTGACTAGACCAGGTTGCTCCAAGCCCCATCCAACCTGCCTTTCAACACTGCCAGGGATGGAGGAGCAGCCACAGCTTCCCTGGGCAACCTGTTCAGGCACCTCTTGGTGCTGTAGTTGGCAGCAGCAAGTCCTGCCTCACTTGCAGGAAGGAGGGACAGGGCTCAAATATAATCAGCACCCTGAAAACAATTCCATCTTCCATCTCCTTGTGCTCAGCCTGCACATAGAGAGATGCTGTAATCCCTGTCTGTGAGCAAGTCAGAAGAGTCACACCTTGGGATATGCTGAGCTAGGAAAGAAGAGAGCTTCTCAAGCAGTATTTGCTGCTCCTGCTGGTGTCTCCAGGACAGAGACACTGGCAGACCAGTGCCCCCTGCTCAGTTCCCAGAGACTGCTGTCAGCTCTGACTGTCAGTGTCACACACCTGATCTTCAGCAGTTACCAGGATCTCTGAGTTTGCTGCTGCAGTTCCTGTTCTCTGACCTGCCCTGCACCTAAAAATGTCAAAGATCACAAACCTATTATTAGACTGCTAAACAATCCTTGCTTTTTCTTCTGCCCTGAGGAGGGTTAAACATGAATATGCAGTGCAGGGATATGTCAGTCAGGGTTCTTTGCTGTTGGAGATTTGCTTCTGCTTGTGATTGTGTTGATTGCTTTGTGTAGGCTTAATTCACTCCTAGTGAGCTGAAAACAGCATTAGCAAAGGAGGGGAAATGATTAGAGGTCATTTGTCTTCTGATCCTGACCTTGCCACAAGATTTTCTGTCACCAAGGACAATTTGCTCCCTTTGTAAAATCCGCTTAGTATTTCTGATCCCTAAAGGAGTTAGAAGCTATTTGTCAATCACTTCAGAAGACTGGGAGATGCTTGACTGATTCATGCTGGAGTGTGAAGTGGAATGAGTGGCTGGAATAAAGAGTGCAAAGCAACAAATACACAGTATTTAAACCCATACTTGGATGTGTCTTGTAGGGTTTGTTGGTGGAAAGGATGGATCTTTTGTGGCAGTGGGCAAGGTCTGCGTTTGTTAGGAACATCTCTTAATGGACTCTTAACTGTTCATGTTACAGTTTAAGATCCACTGAAGCATGTGTTGTTTTCCTGTTATGTGGGGAAAAAAATACAGTAGGTTTCTGATCTAGTTCAAATGTGTAGTTTATTAACCAAATTGCTTATCCCAGAATATTTAGGATTTTTCTAGATGAACATCTTAGAAAAAGTCCATTAAGCCACTGTTTCCAGGAGGGGAGGGAGCTGCTGTGTGGAAAGTACTAGGAAGTTCCTGCTGGGAGCAGTTTACAAATGAATTACACTGAGTTGTCCCCACTGATGTTTGTGTTTGAACAGCATTTAACACAGTGGGGCTTTCATCCTGTTTAGGTCCTGCAGTCACTGCTCAGTGACTCCTCCTCCCAGCACCATATTGTTCACTGAGCACTTTCTGACATGTCAATATTTTTATAATAACATCATGTCTGGGACTTCAGGCATTATTGAGGTGTTGTCATGAGCAAGCTATGTGAAGATAGTTTCTTGTTTGCTCTGTCTTGCATCATGCTCACAACTGGAAGAGTTAGCCCTTCCCACTGTCACATTAGTGGCCAAAAATACCCCTAATTTGGATTTCGGTTACCCAAAATCTTTCAGCAGACCTGCTTTCTTGGTCATTTCACACACAATATATGAATAATTATGTAAAGATTTTAGCTTCCTAATTTATTTTTTTTTTAAAAAAAGAAGCTTGAATTCTGTTTTACTTTCTCTGGGATGTGGTTAATCTGCATCTCAGTTCCATCCAGTCGTCATGGAATGTTTCAGTCTGTGTTGCTGGGAACAGTTTGATGGCTGGCCAGCATGATCTGTCACAGTCTGCAGGGCCAAGAACCCCATGATAGGGGCATTCTTTGTGGGTGGTTTTGGTGCAAACCACAGCTTGTCCTGCTCTCTGAAGATTACATGGTCAGCATCAGTGCAGTTAAAGATTAGTTGGAAAAGTGTGCAGTTCATGTCTGTGATTTTAAACCAGGCTGTGCAGTGTGGAGAAGAAGACAAGGATCAATCTTTTAGCATTAGATTTTGATTCATTTGAGGCCATCTTTTAAAGTGAAGCACTGTGGTGATTGTGTGTCCTTCACCTTGCTTACAAGGCCCAGCTAGAGAGCAAAGCTTTAGTGGTTTCTCATTCCAGTGACATGATGGTCAACTGTCCTTGAAGCTGTGGGAGGTGAAACACACCCAGTCTTAATGCTGTCATTATAAATGAGTATTCTGATAAAATGCTTTCTTTTCAATATGGCTTCTTACAGGTACAGCTTGTTGGTTTGGATGAGGAGAGTTCAGAGTTCATTTGCAGGAACACCTTTGATCACCCCTACCCTACCACAAAGCTTATGTGGATCCCAGACACCAAGGGAGTGTATCCAGACCTGCTGGCAACCAGTGGGGACTACCTGCGAGTCTGGAGGGTGAGTTAATCCTCCCTAGAACAAGAGAAACCATCATGCTAATTGTGCTGCATATTGATCACATTTTTTGAAGTGAGTTCTTTGGCTTTCTGGGTGTCTTGCCCTTCCTCCAGCGTGGAGGTTAAGGCATCAAATCAAGTCAGAGCTCTTGATAATTTGTTTTTTCACTGCAATGGCATGTCTGGACATGGTGGCTGTAGGAGAAGCAGTGGTGGTTGCTTTTTTAATCACCTTGTTGAAGCTTAAGATGATTATTGTGTTTTCCAGAGTTTTAGGATGTAAAACTGAGAGGAAATCAGCTCAGGATTAACACCTTGTGGAACAAGTTGTGTGATGTTGCTTTTTAAGTCAGATGTTTCACTTTTTTCAAGGTGGGTGAAACAGAGACCCGGCTGGAGTGTTTGCTGAACAATAACAAGAACTCTGATTTCTGTGCTCCACTAACATCATTTGACTGGAATGAAGTGGATCCTTACCTTCTAGGTGAGACTGACAGAATGCTACATATTTTTGGTATGGAAAAGACTTTTGAATTTAGTCTGAAATCTGGACTCTGCAGACTGCAGGACTCACTGCTCTGTCGCTGCCTGTCCACTGGTTCGTCTGATAACAAAGTAGTGGAGAAACTTCTACATCACAAGCTGCCATTTTAGGTTACAGATAAAAAAACTGGAGCAGCTCATGGACACTTTGTTGCATTGAAAGGTGCCCTGACCAGTACAGAATGGCTCATTCCAGTTGCACTGGGGATGTTCCTGATTTGCAGACAGGGAGTCTTGAGTCTTTAGGGCTGCTGAGCTGTTGTGTAGTGCTGAGCAATGATATGTATGATCTGTGACAGACTTCAGCTTGTTGTGGTGTGGATAGAGGACCATATATCAAGCTTTTTTTCTAGTGAAGGCATTACAGCAGCTTTAATTCAGCTGGAGGAGGGGGCTGGATGCTTAAGGTTTAATTACAGCCTTTGGGACAAATTGTGAATCCAAGATGGCTGATCCAGCAGGCTTGTTTCCCAGGAGAGTACAGCCATTGATGTCAGGGGGATTTGCCCAGAGATTAACAATGATAATATGTCTTAGTAATTATTTACTACATGATTTATGTTTTGTGTGTTGCATCTCTCATCTCTTAAGAGCTTTACTGCTAGCCCCACAGAAACAATCAGTTAATAATAATAATAATGATGATGATGATAATAATAATAATGTACTATTGCAACACTACGATTGAATTTGGGTTTTGACATGCACAGGAGACTTACAGGATGGGAAAGTTCATCTCAGCATTGCATCAGGCTGCTGAATAAATTGAAGTAGACACGAGCTATTTACACTTGATTCCTGTGTGGAAGACTATTTCTGCAGCTAAAAGGTTTGGGTCATTGAAATGCATGGTAGGTTGCTGGCTGTTTGACATTCTTGATTTAAATTGTATGCTGTTCTTGGAGCTATTTTGATCTGTAGATGTTGGAGATTACATCATTCCAGTGAGTGATTAAATAATTTGTGAGAATATTAATCTTGGTAACAGAGGTTGTTTTTGTTTCAGGTACCTCTAGTATTGACACAACCTGCACTATTTGGGGTCTGGAGACAGGACAGGTTCTGGGAAGAGTCAATCTGGTCTCTGGTCACGTGAAGACACAGCTTATTGCACATGACAAAGAGGTGATGGCTTTTTTTGATTGTTTACTTTGCATATTTTTAAGAGGTAGAAAAAGAACAGAACTTCCCTGGTTTTCCCCCTTTTTCTTGAATAATCTGATGGTCCAAAAAGATAATTTATCCAAGATGAAGATACGCAGCTCTGAGGGCCAAACTAAAGCTGTACTATTGTAGAATGCCAGGTTGGAAATGAGTGACCTCAAGGATCATCTGGTCCTATCTTTCTAGATAATATATTGTCTAAATGAGATGGCCCAGCACCCTGTCAAGCTGAGTCTTCAAACTATCCAATGGAGGAGAATCCACCACTTCCCGTGGGAGGCTGTTCCAGTGTCTCACTGAAACTCCTATTGGCTCCAAAAAGTGCTCTGTTTACTCATAGAATCTGGACTTGAAAATAAGTTTGTTTCACTAGGTTATGAGACAATGGAACAGGTTGCCCAGGGAAGCTGTGGCTGCTTCTCCACCCCTGGAAGTGTTGAAGGGCAGGTTGGATGGGGCTTGGAACAACCTGGGCTGGTGGGAGGTGTCCCTGCCCATGCAGGGGGTGGGACTGGGTGATCTTTAAGGTCCTTCCAACCCAAACCAGTCTGGGATTCATAAATGTTTTAGAAAAATGAGGTAAAACATCAAAGTGAAATTGAGATCAACTGCATATGAAAGGCAATAAACAACTCGGAGGATTCTTTCCTTTTAACATTAAATTACTTCTCAGTAATTAATGTAAAAAAATCTGAGCCTGGGTAATTGATATGTTGAATTTTGGTGAATGACCCTATAATGATCCAACTCTTCAAAGTCTTTTCCTCTCCTTTTGTTAAGTGTGATAAATAAAAACTTCTCAGGAACATTAAATATTTGCCAGAACGTGTCACAAATAGCTCTGCTGTGCCCATGGGAAATCCGTGTTGCTGCTAATGAGGAGCCAGTGTGTTCTCCCTGAATTAAGGTGCTGTTTTCCTGCCCTCTTGCTGAGCAGGTGTATGACATCGCCTTCAGCCGTGCAGGTGGGGGCAGAGACATGTTTGCTTCAGTTGGAGCAGATGGCTCAGTGAGGATGTTTGATCTTCGGCACCTGGAGCACAGCACCATCATTTATGAGGACCCCCAGCACCACCCGCTGCTCCGGCTCTGCTGGAATAAGCAGGATCCCAACTATCTTGCTACAATGGCCATGGATGGCATGGAGGTGAGGGTGGTGGCTTCTCTCCTGTAGGTACTAGTGGGTCTGATTTTCTTGGGAGGTGTTTTGGTAGTAATTAGGAAGCCGTCCTTTAAAGTCCTTTAAAGTAAAGGGCAGTGTCAGTACCTGGGGTATCATTCAGGACCAATCCTTAGTGCATCAATTTCAGTAGGAGTTAAAAGTAGTTGGCATTGTAAACTTGAAGATCCCCGTGGCTTGTATGCATTTAATCTGGTTTTTAAGAGGGGTCTGTGAGCCAGCAGAGCAACAGTTTTCACATCAACTGAACTGCAAGTGTTTTACTCACTTTGCTCTGTCTCAGCTCAGCAGCCGAGGCAGCACATCTTCATTTGTCACCTGTGCTGCTTCAGGGAAGCATAATTCATTTGCTCTTCTGTGTAACTCCCAGGCCCTCCCTGTGAGGTCTGACTCCTCTTGAGACACACTAACAAGCTGGAAGCTCTTCTCTGAGAGCAGTGCTTGCTTGCCAACCCCATCCTTCAGGAAAGGACTGTTTTTATAGCCTTGGCTGAAAAGTCTTGGTTTTCTGAAGGAACAAAAAAATGCCAGCTGTTAATATAGTTGTTTTTGTTTCTGAAGGTTGTTATTCTAGATGTCAGGGTTCCCTGCACTCCTGTTGCCAGGTTAAACAACCACAGAGCATGTGTAAATGGAATTGCTTGGGCACCTCATTCTTCCTGCCACATTTGTACAGCAGGTAAGTGTGATCCCTTGGTGAATCCCTGGGACTCTTTCACTGCATCTGCAAAATCCTCTCCCTCCAGAAGTTTATGCAGTTCTCTGCCTGCCTTTTGCTAAAGAATCCCTGCAGCTTAGAAGCCCTTTATTAATGACTTCCTTACATTTCTAATGGAAGTAGGCACAGATTATTGTATGGAATTAGTGAGCTCAGTGCCCAAACTGTGTCTGCTTTGGCTCAGCCATATTATTTTAGTGCCCCTTAGTTTTTTGCAGTCTACTATTTCAATGTTTTCAATTGATACAAGTTCCAGTGATCATTTGGTTTTCAGCTCTGTCCTGGATAATGTATAATGATCCAAGCTTATTTTGTTGGAGCACAGTTGTATCATTCTATCTCTGGCTGAAATACTCATGGGGACTGCAGCAGCCACATCCTAATGAGCTGCTTGGGCTGCATGCTTGTTAGTAGCCATGTATGGAGATGTTGTTAGGCTTTGATTCTACCTCTGCTTTTCTTTTCCACGTGCAGCTGATGACCATCAGGCTCTCATCTGGGATATTCAGCAGATGCCTCGTGCCATTGAGGACCCTATCTTGGCCTACACAGCAGAGGGAGAAATCAACAATGTACAGTGGGCATCGACTCAGCCAGACTGGATAGCTATCTGCTACAACAACTGCCTGGAGATCTTGAGAGTGTAACATTACTGCC